GCATCTCGAAGGGGAATATCTCAGTTAGCACCTAGATGCAGGCTGATTGGAAGCCAGACCCTGATGCAGCAGCTTTTAAAGTATACAAACACACCTCTTTCTGGGGAGACTGGGAGATGCACATTTTTGTCTGCTCCCTCAATGTTGAGCCCTGGATTAATAGCCAGGTAAGAGGTGCTCTTCGCTTACTACCATCCTGTTGAACCCATGAGCACCAGCCCTGCCATCCATCAGAGCCAGGCTATCAAGGAACATGTTCTTTGGGTGACAGACACAAAAGCTTGGGAGCCAAACACGTATATAATCTCCTTTCTCAGAGATACCAGTAATCTGAGACAAGGCAGAGGAAAAGCCCAATGATGGTATACTGCCTAGCCTCTCTGATCTCTACAGAGGATTGTAGTAAGCCCCTAAATGTGTGTGAAACTAGAAGCCTACCCCTTAGGCCACAGCCATAAAAATAAGCTAATAGACCTCTTGCACAGAAAGACTTGGGGTGCGTTTCAGTCTACTATTACTGCACTGCACCCTGTGGGGGGTGGGTAATCAGTTAAGAACTGTTTCTCTTTTGTAACAGTTCTGTGGTTCCAATCATAAGCCCCTCTGGTCCCCAATGCCAGGAAATCCAGGTGTGTCTCCTGGGCAGCAGCCACAAAAATTAGGGCACCAGGTGTGTGCACAAGCTGCTTTTAGAGAAATAACAGTGACCCAGAAAAAAGCAGAGGAAGACTGCAAAAATACTCTTCCCCTCTGAGGTCTCTGGAGAGAATTAGAGTTGGCTCTTAGATATTGCTTTAATTAGAAGCCTGCCCCTCAGGCCACATCTATGAAACTAAGCTACTAGGTGTCTTTCACAGAAAGACTGGGTATTTGAGTCTGTTGCCTCTGCTGTGCCTTGGGGTTATAGTCAGCTAAGACTTCCTCCTATGTCCATTACATCCACTATCAGACTCACAAGCACAAGCCCCACTGGCCACCAGAGCCAGGCGATCTCGAGATTCCTCTGCAAAGAAATCCTTTGCAGCCACAAAGATCAGGGCGCTAGACCGGTGTAGAAGCTCCTTTCTGGGAGATGCAAGAGGCCAGAGTGAGGTAGAGGGAGAGAACAAATATGGCACCACTTACCTCCCCCTTCGGAGCATTTTAGTAGGTTCCTCCCTAGATGTGTTTAATTCAATGCCTGATAAGCGTATAAGCCTCTCTCCCCGAAAGCCTGGCCACTTCTCAGTCAGGGGCTTTGTATTGGGCCCTAGGATGGATAAGTCCGCCGAGGAGAGCCTTCTAAGAACTGTTTCTCAGCCTGGCCACTTCTCAGTCAGGGGTTTTGTATTCGGCCCTAGGATGGATAAGTCCACCGAGGAGAGCCTTCTAAGAACTGTTTCTCAGTTCGAAATAGCCTTCTGGGTCTTGTGGAGGCAAGTCCCATTGGCTTTCAAAGCTAGATGTTTGGGGAGCTTGTCTCTCAGATAAGGTCTTAAAAGGTGCCATGCCACATGGGTTCAATCCTTCACTCCTCACGGCGGGGAGACCTCAGGAATTTGAGTTACCTCCCAACTGTGGGTTACCATGCTGGGGTTGGAGTCGGTGGTGAGGCTATGTCTTAGCCTCTCCTACCTATTTCTACATGGTTGTTTTTGTTTTGTTTTGTTTCATTTCGTTTCTTTTTTCTCACTCCCCTAATGTGTAGGCATTGCTCAGCTGGTTTGGGGGTTTCTTTTGGAGAACATCGTTCTACATGTAGCTGTCAATTTGGTGTGTCCGTGGGAGGAGGTGATTTCAGGATCCTCCGACATCACCATCTTGAATCAGAACGCTGCCTATTCCTTTTCTTAATGGTGACTTTTAATAAGTAGAATTTTTTAATTTTGATAAAGATTTTTTGTTTATGGCTATTGCTTTTTGTGTCAAAAGATATCTTTTCCTGTCCCTAAGTCACGAAAATGTTCTTCCGTGATGTCATCTCAAAGTTGGAGGTTTTAGTATTTATGCCAATAATTGGTATAGTCAGACCTTAATTCTTGCCCAACTAATGTGTGTGTTATTTTTTTATTATTCTCTTCTTTTTAATGAGGTTAAACAATTTTCCACGTGTTTATTGGCTACGTGGATTCCCACTTCTGTGCAACTCAAGTTTTGTCACTTTTTTTATAGGGTTGTGTGCCTTTTCTTAACTGAATTTTTTGGCATCTCATAGACTACCTTTTTGTTTTATTTTTGTATAATTGGCATAAAATAAATTGCATATAATACACCCATGAAATTACAACCACAATCAAGATAATGTCCATGTCCACCCCTCAAAGTTTCTTCATGCTCCTTTGTCAACCATCCCTCCTTCAATTCCCCATTACTAGGCAACCACTAATCTGCTTCCTATCACTATACATTAGTTTGTTTTTCTAGAATTTTATACAAATGGAAACATACAGTATGCACTCTGTTCTATCTGTCTTCTTTCACTCAGCATAATCATTTAGAATTATTTCCTTTTGATGAATGAATTCCTGTATCACTATGAAATGACCCCTTTTCCTCTAGTGATAATTTTTTGCCCTAAAATCTACTTTGTGTGATATTTATAGAACCACCTCAACCTTCTTTAGAATAATGTTAGCACAATGTATCTTCTTTTCTTTTAATATTTAATATTCTTTTAATATCAACCATCTGTGTCTTTAAGGTTTTTTTAAATTAGATTTTATTCATTCAATCTGAACATTTTTACCTTCTCATTGGGTGCATTCATGTAATTTTTTTTTTATATGGCTGAGTTTAAGTCTACCATTTGACCATTTGTTTTCTATTTGTCCCTTCTGGTTTAAAAAAAAATTGTTTTAACTACCCACATGAGGATCGATCTCAGCACCCTGAGATCATAACGTGAGCTGAAACTGAGAGTCAGATGCTCAACTGACTGTGCCACCCCGCGACCCATTTGTGAAAGTATTCATAAGAATTCCCTGATGTCGAATAAGAATACATCCTGATCTTTAGATGACCTGTGTTCACCACAGTCAGGGGCACATCTGGGGACACTACTTCCTTGAACTTCTTTAAATCCCCTGAGTCTTCCAGGCAAACAATTATGGGATATAATGCCATACAAGAACCTACTCATGGCCACCAATTGTTAGAACAAACACTTCTTGCTTTTTCTGATCACCTAGTTACTGACGTCACTGAAGGGTTAAGGAGGGCAGAGATTTAATCCTGATTTACTCTTAACCCTGAGAATATAGTCTTCTGATAACTCAGGTTAATGTAGGGAGGATATCCAATGTGATTCTCTATCTTGAATTACACCTCTCCTGACTAGATTGACAGATACCTTTAGGCTGAAAGAAGACTCTGGGCTCTGGTGCTCTGCTTTATTCTCAAGGTTCCTAATTTCCCTGTCTTCGGGTTAATAGTTCCCACTCTCTTGTTAGTTGTTTGGTGCTTTCAAGGTGACTCTTAAAAGGCTGCGGTTTGTAGGTTTTGTGATATGTTTATTTTGTTTTGGTTTTATTTTATTTATATTCATTTGATGAACATATAGTGTATTATTAGTTTCAGAGGCAGAGTTCAGTGATTCATCTGTTGTATTTAACACTCAGTGCTCATATGTTTGATTTTAAGAGCAAAAGTTTGTCCACAGAACCTACCTGCTGCTCCTAGAAATGAAAGTCTCCAAATCATTTCTTAACTATTTATGATGAAATAATTATGAAACAGATGATTACATCCACAAAATATATTTTTTAAATAGTTCCTCTGGGTAAATATTTTCAGTGATTATAATCCAAAATAATACACATACATGTTGGTTGAGTTACAGACCCAAGTTTGAGCACCACTTAAGTGACAATTGATAAGCAAAACTTAGAGAATATGCTTACATTTCACAAAAGAAAAATTTAAAAATCTTCAAGCCTAATTACATGCAGGAACACCTTTATAAAGTTATTTTAATGATTACATATGAAGAAAAAGTATGGTGTACAATAGAACACAAGTGGAAACTTGACAATTAGCTCCTTTCCTTGAACATGAACTAGATTTACTTTTGATGTAATAACCTCCACAGCCTTCAAATTTTTATCATGAAAGATTGTATATTTTGTGTCATACCATTTAGCATCGAACATATGAATAAATAAACCTTGTCTCAGAAGTAAGATTTTTTGCAAAGGTTGGTTTAGAGGTACAAGGTCTCTTCTAATCACACCAGATTAGCCAGAACCAAATTATCTCTCTGAAGATAACCATATCTATCTATCTATCACCTATCTCTCTATCTACTAACAAAGAACTACCACCAAAAAGATAATTTAGGGGTTATAAGGACTATAGTTACCATGCTTTAAGAATGTAACTACAGTTAGCATGCTTTATAAGAGGCTTATAATTTTTTGCCCCTAATATCACACATATTCTGTAAATGGCTTTACCCTGAAAAGATAGAAACCTTCTGGGATGCTGAAACTTGAGATAAAACATGCCCTAGATGGAAGAAAATCACAAGGAACACATACAAAAAGGCAAATGAGTTTTTTTTTAATTATTCAAAAATAAGAGAAGAAGGTTCAGGCAAATAATTCCTCATAGTCTCAAAAATTACTGACAACATTATATCTTTAATTATTTAAAAACCTCAAAGAAAAAATGAAAAGGTCCAGAGACAATGGGATCAGGAAATGGGAGTGCGCTGGCTACACAGCAGGACATAAATGAAAATAGAAATATTGCAATGACAGAAGTAAGTGAAGAGGGAAAGAGAAGCAATGTAAATAAAAGGGCTTCCTAAGATACAATTAGAAGAGAAAATAAGAAAAATGTAACAAATGAAATCTAATATGTCCATAATTGGAGTTTCTGAGATAGAAAAGAAAAGAAGTTGAAAAAAGTGCTAAATACATTCTTTTTCTTACCTAAAGAAAGGTTTAAGTCTGTCCTGAAAGTATTCATTGTCACCATTCCCAGTTTCCATGTTTTACACAAATGCTCATTTTCTTTTCCAGACAGTCACATTTTTTCAGAATGTAAATTATGAGGCTGTAGATGACTACTTCAAGTTGCAGTAAGTATGACTTTTAAAAGAACCTGTTCAATGCGAAATGTGCTATTGAGATGATTGATTTGTAGGTATTCTTTTACTTTCATGGCCTCATGACATTTTAAATATCTAGATTTCAGATTTCTTTTAAGTGTTTGGTTAGATGTGAAATTATTATTCTGTATAAAAATGTAAAATGCTCCTTGTAATTACATGAAACGTATCTGGAGGTTTCCATTTGTCCAACTGAAGATGCAGAAAATGGGCTATTTCTTTTTTTATTTAAAAATCAATTAATTAACATATAGTGTATTAATTTCAGAGGTAGAGTTTAGTGATTCATCAGTTGCTTATGATATCCAGTGGGCCCAATCCATCAAGTGAAAAATGGGCTATTTCTTAATTCATTAATTTTCAAGCATGTGCTCATTCGTTCCCATCCCAAAGTCTTTGCATACTATCCTTGGGCAGACTAGAACTCTAATATAAGTAGGTATTTAACTATGAGTAGAATCAGAGAAAACATCATCTTTGACTCTTGGAATAGGTAGCATATGAGCACGTCATTTCTGGAGGAAACAACTGACCTGGAATTGTGTCTTGAGGCATTTCTATGGCCATCATTATGTCCTGACTCGATAGATTTCTGGAAAAATAACACTGTTTTGCTAGGAAAAAGTCCATTTTTCCTTAGTCTGCTGCTCCCCCAAGTGAGCTTGAGCTCTATGCCAAGCACTTTGTAGGTGCTCAAAACACATGGTGAACAAGTAAGAAGAAATCCTGTCATCATGGGCCATATCTCTAGTGAGAGAAGACAAAGAACAAGTAACCAAATAAATGAACAAGGTAATTCCAAGTAGTTATATGTGCAGTTAAGAAAATAAAACAGGAGGGCACCTGAACAGCTCCGTCAGTTGAGTGTCCAACTCTTGATCTCAGCTCAGGTCATGATCTCAGGGTCACGGCATCGAGCCCCATGTCAGACTACACACTCAGCAGGGAGTCTGCTTGGGATTCTCTCCCTCTCCCTCTGCCACTCCCCCAACTCTCTTTCTCTCTTTAAAATAAATAAATCGATCTTTAAAAAAAGAAAGAAAATACAACAGAATAAAGTGGTAGAGTCACTCTCTGGTCAGGAAGGGGAAGAGAGGAAAGGCTGCTCTACAGACTGTAGCCAAGGGAGGCTCAATTCATCCCCAGCCCCTCACCAACACTTTTCTCTCGATGCTTCTAATGTTATGGGTTCCTTGGGGTATTTTTGGTTTTGTGGATATTTACTCAGAATTCTGTTGCTGTTGAATACACATCAGATTGTCCAAAATACTTCAGGTCAGTCCAAGACTTGACAAAAAATACAAAAAGCTTTGAAGTCAGCTGTGATGGGGAAAAAAAAACCTTCCTATAAGAAAACTTGTGTAGAAAATTGTAGATGCAATATTTACTATAGTGTCCTTCATAGACCTAGACTATGTTCCTGTATTTATCAAATCAAAGTTTCCAACACACTGGAAAACAAACCACAATTGGCATAATTATAAGATGCTTCCTGATTTCAAGGTTGTTAAATGAGAAAAAATATGTATCTTAGAATTGATGAAATATGATACAGTGATTTAAAAATATAAAATGTGCTATTTGTATCCTCATTTATTATACTTTATACCTAATATATGACAGATAAATAAATATTAAAATGTGATGAATGTTGGAAGAAAAAGAACATTTGTTTGTGGTTTGTTTTTCCCCAGTTTTTTTCAAAAAGTAAAAACCTTAGCAGTTTTACTGATACTCCAATCTCAGCTCAGGAGTACTGATACTCTTGATCTCAGCTCAGGTCATGATGTCAGGGTCATGAGATCAGGTCCCATGTCTGGCTCCACACTCAGCAGGAAGCCTCCATAAAACTTTCACAACTTCTTCAGCGATTTCAACCTCTCCCATTTTGTCCGGGCACAAAACAATTCTTAGGCACTTCAGAACTTAGAGATTCGACCTTGCTTTTGCTTCCACTCAGATCATAATAAACAGCATAATGTGGCTCAGAAAACTAATCTCATAACTTATTCTTTATGGTTCCAAAAGGGTCATGGATAGGAGGAAAAGATCCACAGAGGCTAGAGAAAGAACAAATAATGCAGCTGTGCCCTTCTGAGGTCATCGGAAAGCTGGACCAGATGTCAGTCGCACAGCCTCCTCCTCCACGGAGGGTGTTAATGAAACGGGGCAGAGGCGGGGGGTGGAAATGTTGATGGACGCTCATCTCTGTTTCCCATTGGGCCGACCCTACCCTAGCCCGCCGGGCAGTAAGAGTGACTTCAGGGAGTGACCACAGTGCCTTAGCAGAAGTGGAGAATAGTCACCCCCACGGCCCCCTCCCAGACTTCTAGAATTCCTCCTGGGCGCCAGTCATCCAGTGTCCATGGGACGGTCCATGGGCTCCACGGGAAGGCAGGCATGGTGCCTGCCTCCCTTGGGATTCTCTAAGCACCTGCACGTGCCATTTCTCCTAGAGACGAGAACACGGGCCTTCGGCTTGTGCAGTTTCGGCCTAGTGAGTATGCAAGAGCGTGTCCAACCGCCCAAAAGGTAAGTGACAGAAGTGGATCAACACCATTACCTCAATAAAGCCGCAGGTGGTGGGCGAGAAAACCCCCACCAGCCCGCCATACAGGAGCCCCCCCACCCCCCCAGGGAAGTGTGTGTCTATGTCTCGGGGGGGGGGGGCATTATTTCACTTTGGAGACAGACCACACAGTTCTGTCTTCCAAGGGCTTACCAGTGAAAGTGAGGTGTAGAAACTCATGCAAAAGCAGAAAATGATTAGTTTCAGGAGATACAACTGTATAAAGGAAAACTGAAATGAATGGGAACTCAAGTGGGATATGGTTTGTCAGAGAAGATGGCTTTTTAAAACTTTTTAAAAAGGTTTTAAAGCTAAAATTTATTGTGTGCCTACTGTGTGTCTTTGCTTCAGCCTCTTTGTAGGTAATGGGAGTTACAAGGATGAAAAGACGGGCTCTTCCTTAGGGGCAAACCGAAGCTAGTCTAAGGGTGTATGACACACAGTTATGAGAGAGCACAGAGAGCGCAGAAGAGTGGGCAAACCGGGGAGGGGCAGGGTGAGGCGTCAATTGTTGGAGAGTAAGTGGAAGGTGAGCAGGCTGATACCAAGGGCATTCCAGGAAGACACGTTTACAAAAGCAGAGCCCCATGAAACAGCCAGTCCCCAGAAAGCCTTAGTGATTCCTTCCAGCAGGAATTTTCCCAGGGAGCGATGACACCACCCCAACACATTATCAACTGGCATTTCTGTGTCGAGGACCAATCCTAGACGTGGTTGCTGGGTTTTGTCAGCTGGGCCCCAGAAGAGAAGGGATCAAGTGGTGGTGGGTCTTGACGGAAAGATTTGAGGACCTCAGTCAACCAAGGGTGTCACATGACTAGATTAGTGAAGACAAAGGGCAGGCCCATGCTTCGGAACACTTTGAAGGGAAAACCAAAGATCTGGTCATGAAGGGACACCAAGGACTGTGGGTAGAGTTGCTGACAGAACAAATCAGATCCTGTGTCTTAGATCGAGTGCCTTTCCAGTGAAGGCTGAGAGGTCTGGGTTTAGCAGGTTTAACTCTTTAAATCCATCAAGCTTGTCTGGACAGGGTTCTCTATCCCCACCCTCCTGATCCCCACATCCTTCTTCAGGGTTAGGGAGTATTAGAGGTTCTTTCAGATTCACTTTGTGGAGAAATGCAACCTACAGCACATGTTTGAGACTGAAAGCAAGTGTCTAGATCCCACTTAGCAAGCCTGGGGGGTGTCTAGCCCTGCGGTGGGTAATCGTCCCGGAGCCAGATGGGAATAGAAATAAGCATCCTAGTCAGGGAGGGGCCCGGTCTCTGGTCGGAAAGAAGTCAGTGAAGAGCCAGATGATCGCGCATGAGTCAGGGACAGGCTGGAAGAACAGAGTTGATGATCCCGGTTACAGCCGAGCTGGCGAAAGAGGAGATGCGGTTAGTTCCTGAAATACCGATGTGGAAAAGCAGAGAACTAACCTCCCAGCCTTGTGAGCAACAGAGCAACACGAAGCAAAGGCAGGAAAAATGTGATCAAAACGAAAGAGTAAAACAGCACCAAAGAGTGTAACAAAACCCTACTTTGGAAAGGTGATTATTTCAAATCTAAAGTGTAATCACTTTTCGCTGTAGGGACATTTTCGCTCATGCGAATTGTAACCACACGTCTCACCACTTAAATTCCTCCATTTTAGGTGTTCCAAATAGCTGTTGGCTGTGATTCCAGTAAATACATTGTTGTTAAAGGGCAAGTATATTTGCATTTGACCTGTCTTACTCTTTGCCTTTTCAAACAAATGGTGAACTGCACGGCGATTGCCGGTGGCACCATCAGCCTGATGACTGGCTTGTTCACGATGAAACCCGAAAACTGAGCTGACTTGGGCTTCCAGAAACTGAACTGACAGTTTGTCCAAACCCGATTTGTTTGAACTTTGGGCCAAGTCAAACCTTCCATCTGAATCATACCAACGGGGAAAAAGGATTAACCTCTTTCCCTGTGGCCAGCGTTTTTCTCCACCTTCCCTTTCAACCATCCTGTTTCCATCCATCACCATTGCCTCTCTCGCTCTCCAGGCTAGCCCTCATTCCCCGAGAAACGAGAGGCAGAAACACTTATGTCTCCTTTGCCTCCTCCTCAAACCAGTTACAATGTCATTTCTGCCACAGAATTGCTTACATCCACATCAGAAAAACCTGCACCATTACCCGTGGGAAGTTTTTTTAGAGCAAACGTCACAGAAGCTCCAGGGTTTCTTCCAGAGAAGCCCGAGGTGTGACTTGTCTTGCTTTTACCGGGGTTCACGATGAAGCACACTGATTTCTGTCATCCACTGGCCACCGCGGGCTCGCTCCTCTATGGGGGACAATCGAGGTCCGTGTGCACAATCCGTTCAGTGGAGATGAAATGGGTCCTTAAGACCGCGACGTACCTAATAGACTCCTCTCCCGTGGTCAGGAGTGGTGGTGAGCGGGGAGTGGAGACTCTTCTCCGAATCGATTTATGGAATGACTTGCTCTCATCCGAAACAAATATCTACTCACCCGCTATCCTAATAATCTTTTGAGTACGCAGTTGGAACCATCAGTTGCTAGACTGACAATCAAGTTTTCCCATTTCAGTCAGCAAGGGAGGTGCATTTCCCACAACTCCTTTTCCAGGACGCACAAAGGCTAACTGATCTATGCAGCACATGGCGTCCTGCTTCTGGAATGGTCTGTGGACCAGCACTGGCATCGCTGGGAGTTTCTTGGAAATTCAGGTTCTTGGGCCTTGTCCCATACCCACTGAGCGAGAATGGCTATTTTAACTAAATATCCCGGAGATGAGCAAGGGCATTAAAATTTGAGAATAACTGCTCTATGCAACATTACCAGAATCAGTTCCCAGGACCACCACGTGCGGTACCACGATCTCAGTCTATTTCTGGGCGGGTCTAGATGGCAATCGTCAAAGGCGGGCTGTTCATCAGCCCCACCCGGAGAACATGTTTGACAAACACAGATTTCAGAACCTTACTCCAGGCTTCTTAATCGATGACCCACTGTTCTGGAACCCTAAAAATGGCCCTAAGTTGAATTCAAGTTGGGGTGGGCCTGAGGTTTTCACAGTCATGAAAGGAGGCCTATGGAGTCCAAGGTTCCTGTGACAGGAGAGATATTCACCTTGGAGGACATCTCATGGGGTCTATATTGAGCTTCAGGGTAGGAAATGGTGTAGGCTTCCAATATCTATCTAAACATGGTGGTGACCAAGGTTCCTTCTGAGTTACAGTGGAAGCAGCCAGCAAAAATGGTCAAATAAATAATTTACTGAAGACATCATTTTCTAGACCATGATAGCCTATGTTTGCCTGACCACTAACCAGAAATTAGGTGCATCCTTAAAGTAGCTCCTTACCTGCACAACTGCGTCCCCAGCAGCAATTAGAAATTGGTGGGGGTTTTTAATTATGGGGAATAAAAATAGCCCGAAGAAATTTATCTTCATTTTGATGGATTTTCACTGAATTTTTCACATGTATCAAATACAAATAAATCAGTATGTTTCAAATTCCGGTGGCCTCAGAAATACTGATTTTTTAAAAATATAAATGCTAGGGCCATTGTGCACCTGGGTGGCTCAGTTGGTTAAGGTTCTGACTCTCGATTTTGGCTCAGGTCATGATCTCAGGGTGGTAAGATCAAGCCCTGCATGGGGCTCTCTTCTGGGCATGGAGCCTGCTTGAGATTCTGTCTCTCCCTCTCCCTCTGCTCCTCTCCCTCCTCCCTGTGCATGCACTCTCTCTCTCTCTCTAAAATAAATAAATAAAACCTTTAAAAAAAAAGAAAGAAAGAAAGAAAGAAAAGAAATGCTAAGGCCACACATTAACCCCGGGATTCTAGTTCAGTAAGTGATGATTCTGTGATACTCTCAAGTTTGAGAATCATGGAGTTAAATGATTATATGTTTATGCAAGTGTATAAGGAATGATATTACAACTTTATCATGTTTTGTTTTTTGTAGGTTTAATAAAAAAGACTGTCTTCAGCATGATTTCTTTTACATTATTGAAAAGTAAGAAATATTTTTAAATAAGCACTGTTCTACATTATTAGTACAAATAATTTAGAATCAGTATTTATTCCTATTAACATCAATCTTTTCTAATATATATGTTCATTGCTACAAATTTACCTCTAGGCACTGCTTTTGCTGCATCTCACAAATTTTGATAAGTTGTGTTTTCATTTCCATTTAGTTCAAAATCTTTTTGAATTTCTCTTAAGATCTCTTCTTCAATACATGTATTATTTAGAAGTGTGTATTTAACCCCCACACAACTGGAGAGTATTTTGTAATCAATTTTTGTGATACCTCCTTACTGAACAAAGTAATGCTTTTAATTTATAAGTTTTAAAAGAGGAAAGAAAAATAAGTAATGAAAAATGTCTTTCCTACAGGTCGTATCTGAGGAATCAGCCATCTAAAAACTTGGTAAGAAAAGCATAATTTTATCCATCAGCCAAATATAGAAAATAACTAAAGCATTTTTCCTTTTCTAGAGAGTAAAATATAATTGGAAAAAATATGGCTGCCCACTGAGACTTGATTTCGGAGAAATGTTTCACCCTTTGATTGAATTGTAAGTATATCCTCACTAAAATTTTTAACTTACTTTGTAAGTTTCAAGATGAAAGTATGAAAACAATGCTAATTAATCGTGCACTTAATAACAAATACTTTTGAGCACTTGATATATGCATCTCTAAGTTTTCCGTACTAGTTATACAAAGTTGGACTACCATGGTGCCTGCATGTGGAGGGAGGTTATCATTTCACTGCTGAGACAAGGCCGGTAGGACAGCTGAGGCTCTTCTCAGTGATGCAGGTGGTCTCTTGTCCGTTGCTTTATTCTCTCTAATCTCTCCCCAAGCTCCTACCAGCACCTCTGCCTGTTTGACAGGAACTACCTTCCCCAGGTGACGTATGACTTTTCTTTCCATGGACCAACAATAACTTAAAGCTTGCAAGGAACGAAACTACATGACTAATAGGGATGGTACAATGGGGAGATTTCAAAAATGTTATCTGTAACTTAATTCTTATAAATAATATTTTGTAATAATAGGATAAAATGCTCTGAGGAAGACTTTTCCAAATAATTTTCTATTATTTTGTCTTCATCTTTAATTTTATTCTTGATTTATGATTACAAAAGTTACACTGTTTGTTACTAAATTTAAAATACAGAAGAATAGGAGACAAATGACCCATTTTCTAAATTTGTTTGCTATTATAAACAAAATGGTGGTGGGTATTCCCTTCTGTACACGTTTGGACACACTCCAGATATGCCATTAGGAAAAATTACTGGAAGCAAAATTTCTATGTAAAAAACATCAAAACTTTGGTCAAGGCTTCCAGCTTTTGGGGCTTTCTAAGGCTAGAAACAACTTCTGAGATCTCTCAAAGTGGGTAGGGGTGACGTAAGGATTCAGGTGTTCCATTTTTTTTTTTTTAACATCTTAATTTAATTTTATTTTTTTCAGTGTTCCAAGACAGGTGCTTCAATTTAGTTTTGCTATGGGGGCTTTCCCTGTTGGGACCCAGAAGGTCTTTACCGTCACATCCTGCCTGCCATTCCTCACCCATGCCACTTTGAGGATTCTGTGCTGTGCCCTCGACATCACTGTCCTACAGGCCCTCTGTCCTAGGTCCTCTGGGCTGTCAGTCTGGTCAGGCTGATCAGCTGTCTTCTGCAGTTCTGATCCTCTTCTAGACATCCAGTGGTGCCACTACTTTTCCTGGTAACCCTAGACACTCCTTCCTCCACTGAGGCCTCATTTTTTTCCCTTTGTTTTGTTTTAAGTATTTATTTTAATTCCAGTGAGCTGACACACAGCGTTAAATTAGTTTCAGGTGTATAATATAGTAATTCAGTAGTTCCATACTTCAGCCTGTGCTCATCACAACAGGCGCACTCCTTAATCCCCCATCACCTCTTTCCCCCATCACCCCACCCACCCCTTCTGATAACCATCAGATGGTACTCTATATTTAAGAGAGTGTTTCTGGATTTGTCTCTCTCTCCATTTTTTTCCCCTTTGCTCTTTTGTTTTGTTTCTTAAATTCCACATGTGAGTGAAATCATATGGCATTTGTCTCTCTCAGACTGATTTATTTCACTTAACATTATACTCTCTAGCTCCGTCCCTGTCATTACAAATAACAAGATTTCATTCTTTTTTACAGTTGAATAAAAATGTTCTAGTATACAAATATAATGGAATATTACACACACACACACACACACACACCCCCCACATCTTTATCCATTCATAAATCAATGAATACTTGGGTGGGCTCCATATCTTGGCTGTTATAAATAACGCCACTATGAACATCGGGGTGCATGTATCCCTTTGAATTAGTGTTCTTGTATTCTTTGGGTAAATGCCCAGTAGTGAAATTGTGGGATCGTAAGCTACTTCTATTTTTAACTTTTTAGGAAACCCCATATTTTTTTCCACAGTGGCTGCTCCAGTTTTCATTCCCACCAACAGTGCGTAAGGATTCCTTTTTCTCCACATCCTCACCAACACCTGTTATTTCTTATGTTGTTGACTTCAGTCATTCTGACAGGTGTGAGGTGGTCTCTCATTGTAGTTTTGATTTGCGTTTCCCTGATGATGAGTGATGTTGAGCATCTTTTCATGTGTCTGTTGGCCATCTGGATGTCTTCTTTAGAAAAATGTCTATTCATGTCTACTGCCCATTTCCTAACTGGATTATTGGTTTGGGGGGTGTTGAGTTTTATAAGTTCTTTATGTCTTGGATACTAACCCTTTATCAGATACGTCATTTGCAAATATCTTCTCCCATTCCACAGGTTGCATTTTAGCCTTGTTCATTGTTTCTTTCACTGTGTAGAAGCATTTTATTTTGACAGTGTCCCAGTAGTTTATTTTTGCTTTTGTTTCCCTTGCTTCAGGAGACATATCTAGAAAAAATTTGGTACAGCCTGTGGCAGAGACATTACTGTCTGTGCTCTCTTCTAGGATTTTATGGTTTTCATGCCTCACAGTTGGGTCTTTCATCCATTTTGAGTTTATTTTGTGTCTGGTGGAAGAACGTGGTTCAGTTTCATTCTTTTGCATGTTGTGCGAGATTGTCCTTTTCCCATCCATTCTGATGCCCTGTGTCAGTATTTAGTCCATTTACATTCAAAGCAATTATTGGTGGATATGTATTTATTGCCATTTTGTTACTTGTGTGGTTCTTTCTGAAGATTTTTCTCTGGTCTTGTCTTTCTCTCTTGCATGTTTCATTGATTTTCCTTAGTGATGTATTTGGATTTCTTTCTCTTTATTCTTCTCATGTTTATTAGTGGTTTTTGATATATGTTTACCATTGGGTTTGCGTATAACCTCTTCTGCATGTAGCAGTGTGTATGAAGTTCAGGGTCATTCTTTTCTCCTCTTCTCCCCATGTTTTAGGCATATGTTATTATATTTTATATCCTTTTTTGTGAGTTCCTTGACCGATTTTTTTACAGAAATATTCATTTCTATTGCATTGATGTTTCCTACCTCTCTTCTTCTCTGTATTAATTGTGGAGTTGGTCCCTCCTCCGGCCTTTACACTGCTCTCTGGTTTAACTAGGGACTGGCCAAGTTGAAAACATGGGACAGGTGAGCTCAGAGTCCTCCTACAGACCATCTTCCCAGGCTCCTTGTTTGCTTTGTTTTTGTTCTGTGCAGTGTCTTAATCCTCCAAGGATAAATAATCTTAATGTTCTCTCCCAGAGAAGTGTATTCTTCTCTTCAACTCATTATTATTAAACACCTCTGAACCTTTTACTGTGTGAGGCCCTGGGAATTCAAAGATAAACAAGACAGGATTTCCTCTCTCAAGGGCTTAAGAGTCTGATGAATTAGATAAACATATTAGCTGACACGGAATAATAAAAAGGAAACTCAAAAGAATCCAACCCAGCTACAGAAGGGAGAGGGGCTTTGGGAAATGTTTCCAGAAAACTTACATTTGATCTGAGTCACGTAGTCTTAAAGGATAATAAATATTTAGCGGAAGGCAGAGGGGGGAGAAGAAAAGCGGGGAAGGTGACAATGAGCTCCACTGGGCGAGGCTTTCACGCCAAAGTGATGGTTTGAGGAAGAAGATGTCTAGTGCTCTTGGGGCATAAAGAAAGGCACAAAGTGTCAGGACAAGAGAAATTAGCTCAGTGGAGTCCGGATCACAGAAGATTTCCTGTCCATACCATGGTAGAGCGGCATGGTCAAATATTTGCCTTAGCTAGTCCTCTCCAGGAGAAGGGAGGAGACGAACTTCAGAGAAACAAGTCTAAATAGCACAAGACAGGTAGTAAACTGTCTTGGTGGCCCATGGAGGAAAAACACAAACGATCAAAATGGCAGCACAGACAAAGAACAGGAATCATTTATGAGAAAAATTAGTGATTATAATAGGCAGGGGCTTGGATAGATAATTAATAGATGAGAAGAGACAATGGGGAAAATGAGATGAGTCCTAGTGACTTTAGTGAAAAGAGACCTTCCACAACCTCCACCACCTTATCTGTACCCACGAGCTCCGTCTGTCTTCCTATCATCAGAGGTGAACATATGTGTATCTAAGGCCTTTCTCTCCATCTGTGAACTGGATCCCCACCCGCTTTCCTACTTAAGAACCCTGCTCCCGAACCTCCGCCCACCTTTTCCCCACATCATTGGTTTTCCCCCCTGTCCTGGATCATCAGAGAAATCTGCAGTTCTTTCCCTCACTGAAAACAAAAACAGGAAAAAAAAAAAAACAACACCTCTGTTGACTCCCACTACCTGTGCAGCTGCTATCCTCACGGTCACCAACTCTCCTCTTCCTCTTCCCCCATCCCTCCCAGTCAGGCTTTTACCCCACCACATCCCCACACCCATTGCTCAGTCCTCGGGACTCACCCTGGTTGATCTCGTTAACCAGAATTACACAGCTGATCATTCCTTTGTACCTGAAATATTTTCTTCATTTGGCTTCCAGGATGTCACACGCTCCTACTTTTCCTGCTACCTCATGGTATCTTACCATAAACCCAGTGAAAAAGACAGGTGGCTGACATGTTTGTTTATGGCCTCTTTAAGGATAGTCTTTTAATGGGGGTGAAACAGACATAATGAAACAGAGCAAATTAGGTGGGTACATTGTAGCCAATGCAATGCTGCTCAGCCCTTAAAATGAATGAAGTAAGATGCTTGTAAAAGGGAATCAGCCAAGAAGTTCAGGTCGGTTAGGGAAGGAGGGGCAGTCGGGGGAGCCTCTGCTGAGGAAAACAGACACCAAGAGACAGGAAACTTCTGTGGATCCATCTCAAAACCTAATATTGAGTGGGGAAAAAAGGCTGCCCAAAGATCCTTGCAGTGTAATATTCTGTATGTATATTTGTAAACTCAGAAAACAATACTATACACGATTTATAGATATGTTTATGGATAAGTAAAGTATAACACCTGGATGGAAATGATATGTAACAGTTTTCACATTTTCCTCTGTGTCTTTCTGCATATTTGAACTATTTCCTAATTAGAATTAAATTAGCTATAGGAGCCAGGCCTGTGAAGAAACCTAGGGCAGTAGGATCAAAGGGCCAGGTGGCAATGTTAAAAGAAGAATTCATCCTCTGAAACTTGGGAGGGAGGTGGAGCGTAAAACTAAAGGTAGGAAGTGACTGGTTTCGAAACAGGAGTGCGGGAGTTGAGGGAAGTCATGTCTGACAGCTTCAGTTTACTCACATGAAACAGAAAGGGCACACTGGGAGCACCGAGGGGTTGAGGAGAAGCTTTGAGGAGGGTGTCAGGGTCACTGAGGGTAATATGAGAAGGGCTGGCCACGGACCAATAGAAAGATTATCAGAGGACACTAAAGGCACAGTTGACTTAAAGCAGCCGGTGGCGCATATTTGAATTTCTCAAGTAGCCTGTGCAGGAGGCCTAGTGTGACAGCCAAGGGTGGGGTGAGATGTTGGAGGCAGGGCGAGAGCCACTGAGTGAAGCCAGGATTGGGGCGGGGAGGGAACGGCCTGGAGGAGGAAAGCAGAGGGAGGCAGGACTGGAAGTCTGGTGAGGTCAAGGGGCGGGTGAGAGGCTGTGGGGGAGGGGGAGGGGTCAGAGACCTGCAACAACACTTGGGGCCATGTGGCAGTGTGTCCTTCTCGGGGCAACTTAGTCTCTGCTACCAGAAGCCACTTGATGAGGCAAGTTGCTTCCAATTCTCCTGGGATCAATAACCGAGCTGCTATTACAGCATCACAAAACAGAAAGTAAGAGACACGGTCGGTTCACTGGGTTGAGGGTCACACGGGACTGAAAGCCTATGTGTCCGATGGATCAACAGCAGAAATGTCACAAAGGAAAAGTTATAAAGTAGAGGGAAGTTAGTTGCCCACTAGTGACATTTTTTAATTTCTCAGGTTTCACTGGTGTCCTATCCTACTAATGAACATTAATAAAAATAAGTTATGCTTACCCGGGCAAGTACTTTTGTCCCATATTCTCCATGAATCAGTTAAGTATTACCAAAGATCATTTATAAACCCCGGCAGTACGGGTCCTGTAATTTATCCTTATGGCTACTAGATGGCACTATAGGCTTATTGCTTTTGCGCGTGGTCACCAATATCCGCTCCCAGTTCAATGAAGATTGTTTTAAAATGTAATAAATAAAACATATGACTTTACAACTAGTTCTTAATAATTCAAGAATCTGATGGCTTTTGGAAGATGCAGTAAGAAAAAAATGCTACACCTTCCAAAGCTCCCCGAATGAGAGCTTTGCTAAAGCCTGACCCAAGTCCCGGAAACTGCAGACACAACCGAGTGTGTCACACACGTGTGCATTGTCCTGTGGGAGGAACTTTAACTAGAGTTTAGAGTTCTCTAGGACCTTCCTCCTGTGCCAAGAAAGACGTCGACTACCATGACTCTAACCCCTAGTTACTCACACCTGAGTTCATGTCTTTATGATTTCTAAAAATGAATTAAGATGCAAGTAAAATAGCTTCTCAGATGTGTACAGATGTCCTGCCCAATTTGTGAATGGGACAAGAGCAGTGTTTTTTTTAATTTTTAATTTTTTATTAACATATAATGTATTATTAGCCCCAGGGGTGCAGGTCTGTGAGTCATCAGGCCTTTATAAGCAGGAATGGATGGTGCCAAGTTGTAGCCCATGCATAGAGCTAGGTAGAGCGACCACGGTATCCGGCAGAGATGTGGCTGAGAGTAAGGAAACACCATGGTCAGGGACCCGTGATCTGGTGGATAGACACGGAGATGGGAAGCAAGAGAACATGGCAGACCCTGGGGCAACAGTCCAAAAGTCAGAGTCCAGGAGCAAGTGCCTGGGACCAAAGTCCTAAGTGAAATTTCCATCCACAGTGGGGGTGGGGACAATCCCACTCAGAAAAACGGGCAATGACGGTCGGAGAAAGAAGAGAGGACAGTGTCCGAAACAGTTGAAAGCTCTGTTAATGCACAGGTGTAACTTTACCACTAAGTGAACTTTAGCTTGGTCTCAAGCCCCTATTTTCATAGGGTTGCAAGAAAAAAAAAAAAAAAGATCTTAATCTGAAGTAGCATCTTTTTTGAAACGCACTGAGTTTGGGGTAAGAACTCTAAGCTCAATGGGGCTTCTGTGTCCAGCGCTGCCATCCGGTGAGTGGGCACCCTGTCTGGGTAGGACTGTCTGCGGGGGGGGTCTGCTGTGGGTCAAAGTCATGACAAGCTCTCTGGCCTGGGCTGCGTGTGACTGTGGCTCCCAGGAGCTGGTGACCCCTTCTGCTTCTCGGGACCCCACCTCAGCTCTCCCTGCTGCTGCCAACCCCTTGACACTGAGCCCCGTCTTCTGGCCGGGTCCGACCACCCCCATCCCAGGAGTTCTGGAGCATCTCCGCTCTCATCACAGCGATCCCATGGCAGGCAACAGTCACCCAATGCATACTTGTTGATTAAATGACCCCAGGGTTCCCTCGCGGTACCCTTCCTCCTTCCTCAGTCCTTTCTCCCTGCCGACTCGGCTACCCTCGCCCCCCTCAACACACGGTTCCTGTCAAAGTGAACAGCATTTACGCTTCCAAATGTGAAAAAGGCAAACATATCCTGCTTTACTCCTAGGAGGTTGATTTCGAGAGCTGAAGGAAGCCTATACAATAGGTACTGGGATGGCTCCACAGAGAAGTGACAATACTGAGGTTTTGAGAACTTTAAGTTACTCCACTGGGGTCGCAGCGCTGTTCAGAGAAGCCCGTCAGACTGGAGGGCTGCAGCTCTCAAGCTCTCTCTTCTGCTCTAATGGATTGTTGTTGTGTCCGCTGTCTCGCTCAGACACAATGGCAATGGCTACATCGAAGACGTGGAAGTAAACTTCATCGTGTGGGAAATACACGGCAGGAACGACTACAGCTTTAATAACACCATGAAGAAGGTACGGCGTCTTTGAATTGGAGTAGAGCTTAGCACGCAGTGACACCTGCCGATCTATTTTCCATCTGTATATAAATTATGTAAGGAAAGTAGAACTGACTGCATGTGGGTAGAAAAAAAATAGGACCTGTGTATTATATCTTGTGGCTACCGAAATTCATTTACAACAAAAGAAGCCTTATGAAACAGGTCATATGAAACAGACGTAAAGGGATCAGAAAAAGATAATAATGTTTATAGTAGGGTGATGCAATCCTAGGTGAGTGTTTTCTTTTGTCTCCACAGTGTAGTCAGTGTTCGATTATTTATGGCTCTGCCTGTGGCTCTCGCACATTCATCTGGCGGGTGCTACATTAAAGACACGCGCTCTAGGCTTCCTCTCACTTGACTTCCTTGCGTCATTTGACCCACTGACCTTGGCTTCACTTGTCCCCACACTCCTCTTCTGACTGGTCGATCTCAGCCTCCCTGCTGACAACCCTTTCCACTTTGCAGGCCATGGCAAAAAGGCCTCACCACCTCCCACCCCCAGACTCCACTCCTGACCATCATGACCAAGCGTCTCCACAAACAGCATATGGATTCTGACTTTTCCCCAGAAATCTCGTGCTCAAAGTCAGAGATTAGACATAGCTCCTTCCAAAAGAGCTTTCTCATCGATCAGAGACCTTAATTCTCCAAGAAGGAGACCCCACCCAGGTAGTGGCCAAGAGACAACGAGTTCCACCTGCTACCTGCTCCGGGCTCCTGCAAGAACCATCTTTCGGTGCTGGGGTCAAACAAATCCATCCCACCACATTCCTCCTACACTTGTCCAGCCCCCGAAGTGTGAGTCCTTCTGGCCTACTCTGTCCTCACAATCTCATCCCTAAACTCTTCTGTCCGTCTTGCACCTGGGCCCAGATTCCCATTATTCTCCACCTTCTCAAACTCTTCTAATACACCTTAGGGCTAAATGACCCTAGATACTTCTTCAGGAGACATTCCTCAAAAAATATAATTTCCCCTGTTTTTCTCTCAGATCAAGGGTACTCTTGACGGGCTATGGAATCAAACCACTCCCTAACCCACACTATCGTTTCCAGATCAGTATCTCCTCACCCTAATCACAGTGTCCCTTGTTTGAGACCCCTGTCATCCAGATGGCGTGGACCCCATCTCCCCCTGTCGCTGTCACATACTGAGAACTTGAATGGGTTCTCTTCCTGCCCTGAAAGCAATTACAGTTAAGTCCTGTGAGTTTTTGCTGGGAAGAAGCTTTCTGAACAGGAAGGACCCTTTCTGGTCCCATTTGCAGCTACGTGGGCCATGTGACCGGCTCTTATGCTGTGGAATGAGCAGAAGCGAGAGGTGTCCCTTCCACGATGAGGTGCTGGAGAAGGGCTCCCACGAGCCCCTGAGCTCCTTAGCTTCCTCCATAGCAGTCGATCCCAGTGACAGTTGGAGATGGAGAGATGCAAGCTGGATGAGAGGAGTCCGGTGAGGGGACTCTTCGAAGTGCCACAAGACAGAGAAGCCCGATCCTCCACTGTGAGGAGCGCCACCCATAGAGACCATCCCCCCCCGGGGCATCGGCACTGGACTATGTGTGAGCAGGAATTCAACTGTGATGTGTGAGGGCCCTGAGGAGTGGGGTTTGCTGCGCAACAGAGGCTGCCTCAACCAACACAGCTCCCCCCGTTTTAATTACATTTAAATGCAAACACTCCAGTCTATGGCCTCAACCCCCAATTCTCTAGCTCTGTGGGTGTTCTTCCCACTAACTCTCACCCTTGCTTTTCTTTACACTGTCTAGACATCCACCAGATAGAGCCCTCTGCCCTCTCCCTCTCTGCCATCCCATGTTTCCTCTCCTTTTCCCATCTAACTTGAGCTCTGTGGGTCTGTCCTCCAGCCACCATCTCGCCCATATCTCCAAGTCATCTTCCCCAGTGTTGTTCCTATGCACCCGATGGCCACTTTAAACATCAATCATTCAGCCTCATCCATGCCTCTGTCCGAGCTGCCAATCACTTCTAGAAAAAAAAAAACCAAAATTACAGTAACTGGAATTAGGGACTCAACTATTAGGAGTGAAGGCTGAAAACAGAATTGGTCAGCTGGAAGAGGGGTCAGAAGGAAATGCCTAGAACTATGCATAGGGAGGTAAGCTGATTGAAAATATAGATAAGAACATAATGGAGATTTACTGCCTAGCTCTAAGGAATGGGGTCCTAGAAAGAAAAGAGAGAGTGTTAGCCAAAAGCAATATTTTCCCAAAAGGCAAAAGACATCGAGGCACAGAAAAAGTAATCTTCATCCAGAAATGCTACTATGAACATTTTAAAATGAAAAACAAAGAGAAAATCCTTAAAGGTAGCCAAAATAAAAAAAGAAATTTACTCTCGAGAGAGTAGCAATAAGACTTAAGGCTGATTTCTCTATAGAAATAATGCAAACTAGAAAACTTTGAACAAAAATATCTCCCCCCCCCTTTTTTAGGGGGGGGAAGAGCAAAGGGAGAGGGAGAGAGAGAATCTGAAGCAATCTCAATGCCCAGAATGGAGCCCAACACAGGACTTGATCTCACAATGCTGGGATCATGACCTGAGCCAAGATCAAGAGTCAGTTGCTTAACCCCCTGAGCCACCCAGGTGTCCTTGAACAAAAATATCTTTAAATTACTGAAAGAAAATAAATTCCAAATCCAAAATTCTATATGCAATGAAAATAGCCCTTTAAAAATAAAAATGAACAGTAGAGAATGCTTTAAAAGACACATGAAATTAGAAGAAGAAAAATTTTAAAGTGAAAAGAAACAATGGGATAAAAAGGATTTAAGAAAAAAGTGACAAATACTGAAGATAGGCAAAGAAGATCCAATAGATGGGTAAATGGACACCCTGAAAAAGAAAACCAGATGGGCGCCTGGGTCATTAAGCATCTGCTTTCAACTCAGGTCATGATGGCAGGGTCCTGGGATAGAGCCCTGCATCGGGCTCCCTGCTTAATGGGAAACCTGCTTCTCCCTCTCCCACCCCACCTGCTTGTGTTCCCTCTTACTGTCTCTCTTTCTGTGTCAAATAAATAAATAAAATCTTTTAAAAGAAGGAAAAAAAAAGAAAACCAGAATAAAGGAACAAAACTGATGCTAATCTTTCAAGAAAACATCTCTACCCCACCCCAAGCAAAAAAAGTCTTGAAGCTTCATATTGAAAGAGCATAGCATATACTCAAAATATCAAATCAGAACAGCCAACCCAAGTGGACTTATAGGCAAAAAAAAAAAAAAAAGCAATTTACATATAAGGAAAATAAAATTAAATTATAATTTTTATAGCAATGCTTTATACCAGGAAAAAAAATGGAGTAAAATATTTAAGATACTCAAAGAAAATAAACACAAACCAAGGATTTTATATTCAGTGAAACTGATGACTCTAGAAAAGGCACAAACTACTATTAACATGTCAAACGCTCAGATGATATTGTTCCCAGGAGCCCTTCCTGAGTAACTTACTATATAATGAATTTCAAACCACCAAAATCACTAAAGAGATATCAACATAAGGACTAGAGGAAAGCATTATGTAGTATGGAGTTACTTGCAAAGTGAGGGTTAAAAGGGAAAAAGGATAATATACAATGGACGTATTCTCTGACAATAAAGATATAACACAACCATAAAATATGCTAGGAGAATATGAGAGCATATGCTGGGGAAAAATATAACTTTTCAGAAATCGTGATCGTGGGGGGTAATATTTATATGAGTTATTCTGATCTTGTGAGGTGTGTAATGTGAGATATTCTAATACTGTCATTCTTCAAGTGCTGTTGAAGTAAAAGCGAGGAGATGCATATGTAGTATAGAAGTTAGACAAAACATCCTGAATTTGAACAGGACTCAATGTAAACTCATGAGGTATTAGAAACTCATATGATCTGGATATAAATATGTAACTGTCTTGTTCAGAGAGAACGAGATAAATTTTTCCTACACTGCCCATTAAAATCCCTAGAAACACAACTGCTCAGTACCCACATGGCTGTCTTGAAATATCATTTCCCACTAAAAGTAACTGGGGATTCTTAGATAAGTAGCTGATTCCAAGCCTGGGGGAGGAAACAAACATGATGAACTTGGGACAGTTTGACGTACCCAATAGCAAGGAGTTATCAAAGACTGCTAGGGTCATGTCGAAAGCAATCAGAAGTCAACTTGAAGAGGTTGGCTAAAGATGGGACAATTAGAGCTTCCTTACAGATAGTTATTACAATATTGCTCAAACCCATTAAATATGTTAAACCTATGAGTTCATAATGAATTTTTCAAAAAGGTCACCTTTGGAGAATAATAGGAAATCAACTCCTTATTTTAAAAAGTGGCAAATAAAGGGAAAGACACCAATATTTATCCTACCGTCCCCAAATGAACTATACTAGTGAGTAAAGAAATAATAGAGAAGGGAAACTATCTCTTTATAGCATGTTTCTAGTTGACAAATGGAAAAAAAAAAAAGAGAGAAAGAGAATATCACCATTTTAAGCCCACATAATAGAGGTTACTATGAATAAATTTATATTAACCAATTTTGACAACAAAGAAATGGATAAAACAGACAGTTGCCTTAGAAAACACAATTTACCAAAGTTCCTGATATTCTAAGAAAGAAAGAGACATCTCTAATCCCAAAACAGACATCTCTAATCCCAAATGCCTTTCCTGATGAAGTCTACCAAACATTAAAAGAAAATTTTCCTTCAGTTTTCTAAAAACTCTTCCAGAGTATTAGGGTGGGGAAAGTACTTCCCAGTTCACTTTGTGAATCCAGGAGGGCCTGATGAGGACCTTAAAAGAAACGGGCATTATGAGCCGATCACACCATGACCACAGACACAAAGCACCTAACCAAAACACTAGCAAATCAAACTCAGCGGTGTTTCTAAAAATCACACATCTAGACAAGTTTTGTTTATCTCCTAACTGGAGAGTTGGAATATCACTTGAAAATCAAAGAAATCTTCTCTAGTGACAGAATAAAGAATGGGCATGGGTTATTATAATAGTTGAAAAGTCATTTAATTAAAAAATTATTCATACATAACATTATTTTTAAAATAAATCTTGGAATTCTCAGGGTCATGAGTTTAAGCCCCACATTGGGCATGGAGCCTACTTAAAAAAATGAATAACCCAAAAATAAATCTTGGAAAATTATAAGTATATGGTAACTACCTTAACCTAATAAAATGTAAATACAAAAAAAAAAAAAAAAGCCTTAGAAAACATCTTACCGGGGCACCTGTGTGGCTCAGTTGGTTAAGCATCTGCCTTCAGCTCAGGTCATGATCTCGGGGTCCTGGGATCGAGACCCACATCGGGCTCCCTGCTCAGCAGGGAGTCTGCTTCTCCCTCTCCCTCTACCTGCTACTCCGCCTACTTGTGCTCTCTTTCTCTGTCAAATAAATAAATAAAAATTCTTTTTTAAAAATGATTTTATTTACTTACTTGAGAGAGAGAGAGAGAAAGGGAGTGAGAGGGAGAGAGAAAGAGAAAGTGCACAAGGTGGGTTGGGGGACAGAGAAGCAGGCTCTCCACCAAGCAGAGAGCCCAACATGGGGCTTGTTCCCAGGACCCTGGGATCATGACCTGAGCCAAAGGCAGACGTTTAACCTCCTGAGCCACCCAGGTGCCCCTAAATAAAAATTCTGAAAGAAAGAAAGAAAGAAAGAAAGAAAGAAAGAAAGAAAGAAAGAAAGAAAGAAAGAAAGAAAGAAAGAAAGAAAGGAAGAAAGAAAGAAAGGAAGGAAGGAAGAAAGGAAGGAAGAGAAAGAAAGAAAAGAAAACATCTTGGTGGTGAAAATTTGAAAGCTTTCTCTCTGAAGTCAGGAGTGAAACAAGTGTGCCAGTTATCACCATTTCTATACAACATTGTTCCTGATCTCTGTAATAAGACAAATAAACAGTAACAATAAAAGTATGAGGATTGGCAAGGAAGCGAGAAGATGGTCAAATTCACAATTAACATGACTTTATGTGAAACACTCAAAATTAGTGAGTTTAAGAAGTTCTTTCGTGCAAGGTCAATACACAAACTTCAGTTGTTCCCCTGTATAGCAACAAACATTTAAATAATGAAAAGAATTAAATATATATTGTTCAATGACATTAAATATGCTAAATACTTATGAATAAATTTATATACAAACATATGTGTATATAATTTTTAATACATTTTTATTTCAACTCCAACTAATGTACAGTGCCCTACTCTCAGGTGTACAATACAGTGATTCCACACTTCCACACATCACCTGGGGCTCATCCCAAGTGCCCTCCTTCACCCCCATCACCTACCTAACCCATCCACCCACCCACCTCCATTCCAGCAACCATCAGTTTGTCCTCTGTAGTTAAGAGTCTCTTTCTAGGTTTGTCTCTGTTCACTTTCCTCCTTCCCTCATTTGCTTCTTAAATTCCTATATGTACGATTTTTTGACAGAGTGGTTGTTTAAATGAAGCCCAGACATGGAAGTCAATGACGAAGCTTAACCAGAACCTTCCACTTGAAGAAGCCTGGGGACCTGAGGTAAGGAAAATAACCCAGCAAATTTCATTTATAATAACTAATTTGGCATTTCAGGATTAACCAAAGTTTGATGGAAACATTTTGGATTTAAATTTGTTTTTGCAAATCAAATCCAACTTTTCTATTGGGTTAATATTGTGATTTCAGTAATGTATCATCTTAATTTCTGTTTAATATTCCATGGCTCCTGAGTTACTAACAATTTTTTTCTTTTTCTTTTTCTTTTTTTTTTGCTGAAAATCTGTGTTTGTAGATTTATTAAATGACTGACAAACATGCTAAAACATTGAGAGTGAGTCTTTCTAAAGAACACCTGAACTATCAATTCTTGTACAACTGAAAGATCATGGGGCGCCTGGGTGGCTCAGTCAGTTAGGCGTCTGCCTTCAGCTTAGGTCATGATCCCAGGGTCCTGGGATCGAGCCCCACATTGGGCTCTCTGCTCAGCGGAGAACCTGTTTCTCCCTCTCCTTCTATATTCCCTCCCCCATGCTCTCTCGCTCTCACTCTACCTCAAATAAATAAAATCTTTAAACAAAACAAAAACAACTGAAATATCATATCTGAATGCTAACTATCAGTCCTATACTGCTTTCAATTTTTTTCAATCACACTTTCTTGAATTGAAATTAGTTTATGTTATTTGGAGAACCAAATCATATCTCATAAATAAAAGTGACCTATATGGTACCTGGGTCCATAAAAATCTAAACCCTACAATGGGAATGTTACTTTGCTTCTACATCAGAATCTATTCATGTCAAGACAGATACATACAAATGATTGTATTATCCTCTGTAGTCGCAGCTCCAAACATCCCACTTTCCATCCACCATGTCCTATCCTTCCAGCACCATAACCCTAGAACCTTTACTCTAACAATCCTTCAAACAATCCTTCAACCTCAAAATGACCCAACCACCCTCAACCCTGACCCCAGGTTCTCTTCTTGCTCTTTATGCTGCTTAAATTCCATGGTCAATAATTTTATCACTCTATTAACGTGTACCCTCAATTCCTCCCTTCTTCTCACTTCTTTAGACTTGTGTGGCTAAATCACAACCCTAGTTAAATCCCAACTATCTGCCTTGGCAGCTGACTCTGGTCAAAGGAATACATACACACGCGGATTTGTTTCACCTTCTTTTCATGATTAAAACAGTCCTGCAATACTGCCCAACAAACATAAGTATATTTCTCCAGCTCATTCCCATTTCCCCCCTAGCTACTGCATACTTTCTCCTCTCCCCTATAATCTCCAACACCTCTTCCCCTAGAGAAGGACCTTAAGGTTTTTATCTTTGTTTCCTATTCAGAACTATAAACACTGTTTTTCTTATGCTATTGGAAAACCAGGAGACTTAAATCAACCATATGAGATAATCAACAAGTCTAACTATAACCATTTAATTTGGCCTGGGGACCATTCTGGAATGTATGTGTTTCGTGTGAAGATCCTGGATCCAAACTATAGGTGAATATAAATGTTTTATTGTAATAGTTTTAGCATTTATTTAAAGGGATAATGATACGGTTGAATATAATTTCTATTTTACAAAGCCCAATAAATGATTTACACTAAAACATGGCAACATCACAGAAGGCAAGAGGGAAGACCATAGCTAGTAGGAAAAATAAAAATGCCATAGAGTCTGGGGTCACCACTACAAGAAGAGTTTCACAAAATGCTAAATCAAAAAGTTATGTATACCCTCATGTTGATAACATTATTTAAAATAGCCAAGACATGGAAGCAACCTAAGTGTCCATTAATGACTGAGTGATAAAGAGAACATGGTATATATAAATATACAATGAAGCATTATTCAGATATAAATAAAGAAGGAAATCCTCTACCTCAAGAAAGAAGAAAAATCTCAAACAACTCAATTTTACACCTCATAGAACTAGAAAAAGAGCAAAGCCCAGAGTTAGTAAAAGGAAGGAAATCACAAATATCAGAGAGGAAATAAATCAAATAGAGAGTAAAAAGATGACAGCAAAGATCAAGTAGACTAAGAGTTGGTTTTTAAAAAGATAAATAAAGTAGACAAAATTTTAGCTAACCTCAACAAGAAAAAAAGAGAGAGAGTACTCAAATCAGAAATGAAAGAGAAGTTACAACTGATACCAAAGAAATATATAGGCTCATAAGAGACTGTTATGAACAATCATACAGCAACAAATTAGACAACCTAGAAAAAAATGGGTAAATTCTTAGAAATGTAGAACTTACCAAGACTGAATCATGAAAAAATGGAAAATGTGATCAGACTGATGACTAGTGAGGAGAGTGAATCAATAAGAAAAAACCTCTCAACTAACAGAAGTCCAAGACCAGATGGCTTTACTGGTAGATTCTACCAAACATTTAAAGAAAAATATCTATCCTTCTCAAACTCTTCCAAAAAATATAAGAGGAAGGAAAATTTATAAACTCATTCTGTGAGGCCAACATTACTAATACCGAAGCCAGACAAGGATACCACCAGAAAAGAAAATTACAAGTCAATATCCTTGATGAACATACATACAAAAATCCTCAATGAAATATCAGCTGACTGAATTCAACAATAATTAAAAGGAATCATATACAATGATAAAGTGGGATTTATTCTAGGGATGCAAGGATGATTTGACATCTGCAAATTAATCAATGTGATATGCCACATTAACAAAATGAAGGATAAAAATTGTATGATCATCTCAGTAGATGCAGAAAAGCATTTGACAAAATGCAACATTCATTTATTATAAAATTCTCAATAAAGTAGGTGTAGTAGGAACATACCTCAACATAATCAAGGCCGTAGGACAAACCCACAGCTAACATCATACTCAGTGGTGAAAAGCTGAAAGTCTTTTGTCTAAGATCAGGAACAAAGATGAGAAACAAAGGTGCCCACTTTTATTTTTATTCCACATAGAGTTGGAAGTCCTATCCAGAGCAATTGTAGAAGATTCCAATGAATGGAAAGACATTCAGTGTTGGGAGAACAAATACTGTTAAAATGTCCATACTACCCAAAGCAATCTATAGATTCAATGCAATCTCTATCAAAATTCCAATGGTAGGGACGCCCGGGTGGCTCAGTTGGTTGGGCGGCTGCCTTTGGCTCAGGTCATGATCCCAGCGTCCTGGGATCGAGTACCACATCAGGCTCCTTGCCCGATACATAAATAAAATCTTAAAAAAAAATTCCAATGGTATTCTTCACAGAATTAGAACAACCCTAACATTTGTATGGAATGACAGAAAGAAACAAAACCAAATAGCCAAAGCCATCTTGAGAAAGAAGAAGAAAGCTAGAGACATCACATTCCCTTATTTCAAATTATACTATGAAGTTTTGGTAATCAAAATAATATGGCCCCAGCATAAAAACAGATACATACATTAATGGAACAGAACAGAGGGGCCAAAAATAAACCGAGGCATATGTAGTCAATTTATTACAAAGGAGCCAAGAATATATAATGGGGAAAGGACAACCTCTTCAATAAGTGGTATTGGGAAAACTGGACAGCCACACACAAAAAAAATGAAACTAGACCACTATCTCACAGCATACACAAAAATTAACTCAAAATGGATTAAAGACTTGAATGTAAGAGCCTATGCCATCAAGCTCCTGGAAGAAAACATAGATAGTAAACTCCTTGATTTCAGTCTTGGCCATGATTTGTTTGGACTTGACACCAAAAGCAAAGGCACCTAGAATGAGAATAAACAAGTGAGACTACATCACATGAAAAAGTTTCTGCACAGCCAAGGAAACCATCAACAAAATGAAAAGGCAACCTGTGGAAATCACACATCCAATAAAGAGTTACTATACAAAATATACAAAGAACTCATACAATACAATACAATACAATACAATACAATACAATACAATACAATACAATACAAAAACAAACAATCCAATTAAAACATAGATTGAAGATCTGAATAGACATTTTTCCAAGACAGACAGATGGCCAATGGGTATCTGAAATGGTATTCAACATCACTCATCATCAGGGAAATGAAAGTCAAAAACTCAGTGAGATATCCCCTCACACCTGTCAGAAGGGCCTGTCTCAAAAAGACAAGAGATAACAAGTGTTGGCAAGGATGTGGAAAAAAGGGAATCCTGTGCACTCTTGGTGGGAATGGAAATTGGCACAGCCACTATGGAAAACACTATGGAATTTCCTCAAAAAGCTAAAAATAGAATACCATACGATCTAATGATTCCTCCCCTAAGTATTTATCCAAGAAAATGAAAACCCTAACTTGAAAAGATGCGCCCTCCTGCTCATTGTGGAATTATCTACAGTAGCCAAGACATGGAAATAATGCATGTCTCTGTCAATGGTTGAATGGATAAAGAAAATGTGATAGATGATAGATAATGATAGAGTAGATAGATATATAGATATATTCCTAGATACATGTCTATTTCTATATATATAGTGGAATATTATTAAGCTATAAAAAAGAAAGGAAATCTTGCCATTTGCTACAACATGGATGGACCCTGAAGGCATTATTCTAGAGTCTACTTTGGTTTGAATCCTACTCTTGCCACTGGTAGATATGTCATCTTAAGTGAATCTCTTAGTATCTGCGCTTCTTCTTTATTTGTAAAATGAGTCTGTAACACTGATCTTATAGTATTCTGAGGATTAAATGAAAGTACCCAGGTAAAAATCCCTAATTTTGCTCAGTCAAGGTAATTTCCTTTCTTCTCTTTTCTCCCACATGAAGATGGGTGAAATGCTATCATGAATGTTTATTTAGCTCTGTCCTGTCTCATTCCAAGCAGTCTGCTGAATCGTGAGAGATAGTAACTTTAGAAATAATCACACAGTGCCCTGTATCAAGCTCTGAACATCCTTAGCTTCCTGAGTCAGCCTACAGCAGGTGAACACCACAGGCTCTTTGGGCAGAAAAACCTGAATTCAAATCCCAGCTCTGCTGACAACTGCAAACTTTTGCAAGTAGCTTAACCTGCCTGAGCCTCTGTTTCTTTCCAAAAGAAACGGTAGCTATGAGGATTAGGCAGATAACTCACGTAGGGCATTTGGTCCACCGCCTGGTACACAGCAAATGCTCGTTTAGTATTCATTCTCAACAAGTACTAATGCTCAGTAAAACATTATGACTATTATTAACATTATGCTTATGGTCACCTTGGGACCCACTATCAAAACGATGTCAAGATGTTAGGAGGGCAGTGAGGGTGCACTGACAAGCTGAGAGAAATCGTGCCGCAAGCAGCCCGAGTCACACGTTTGGAAAAATCACCACAGCTGTGATGTAAATGCATCCCTTCTCTCCAGTATTGAGGAAGTGACACCTTCATTAAGATTATCTATGAGTCAATCATTACCATAAAGATTTGGAGGGAGGCTTTTCATATATTGCATGTAATTTAATCGTTAATATTATTTGTCTCATTTACAGTTTCTGTAACCTAACAGCTATATTTGCGATAGAGACCTTCGGAATGATTCCCAGGTAATGCCTTCTGCCTAATCAGGCTCTAGCAAGGGAAGCTGTAAAAGACAGGGGTGGCAGCCAGGACAGGAAAAGCACGTCTCCCCCATTTCCCTGGGACCCTACTACTTCTGCCTCTTATGTTGACGTTCTCAAATTGTATGTATCAATTATCCCAGGGACACAGCAGGAAGGAATTTCTGAGAATTGTTGCTGCAGCTGGGGTCCCATTTTGTCCCATCCCCTCAGCAGCCACGGTTTTCCCATCAAACACGTCCTTGAACCCCACCTAAAGGACAGATCATGGGCTGCGGCGGGGGGCTGGGAGGAGACGGTGGCTGGTTGAGTCAGCCCTCACCCACCGGCCTTACCATTCTGATGTAACCAGAGACAGGTAGAAAGGCACATTCCCGGACTCCAGTCTCCTTGGAGAGCAAAGTCTTGATGCTAACACTGGGATCGCACATGGCTTTGCTTCTTCTCTGTCCTGGGCCTAGTTTTTTTGCTTTCATTCTTTCGTAAAATATTAATAAAAAATGGAAGACAAACAATGAAGTTACTCCTGGCCCTCCTCTAAATATTACTGACTCCTTGACGTTTTGTGCCAATGGAAGATTAATAGTGTAAATAACCCACAAATGAGATAAGCCACCCGTTGTTTCTAAGTGACTTTGGGAAACATCTATGGCCTTTGGCAGTGACTTCTCTTCCTCATTAGATTATTATGTTTAGATGAATATTAAGAACATAAGTGCACCCAAGTACCCACTGTCAGAAGGGGGCACTCGTGTGTTGGAGAGGAGAGACAACGGTGAAGGAGGAGTTCACCTCTTTGCTCACCTCCCTGGAGCTGGATCCCAGCAGCCAGGGGAAATGGTGCAGCTGAGGAGGTCAGCCCTAGGTTAGTGTCTGCAGCTTAGTCTCTGTTACACCTGAGCCCCGGAAGTGGGAGCGGAGGCAGAGCAGAGGCCAGCGGGCGGTGACCATTTTCCGAGTAAGAAAGCCTTTCTCATAAGCAAACATTGGCTGGAGATCAGGCTGTAGGAGGCAAAGATCTTGGCACTTACTTGTCTTCTGGAGGATTCAACCACTTCCCCCAATTTTCCACTGCGTCCTTTGGAGTTGTTACCTTTTAGACAGCAAACTCCCCTAAATCCTCAACTGTCCTCTGAGCTCCCCCTCTATGTCCCTCCCCCACCACCCAGGACCACTGCTTCACCTTCAGCCCTCTAGAGTGATGGCTGTTTACTTTCCAACGACCCCCCCACCAGGTGCCTCGGGACGCCACTACCACTTCCAGACCATTATTTATCCCAGGTCTTCTAAAACAAAACCAAAAAACAAACAAGCAAAAACCATTTTTTAAACACACACCCTTTTTTACTTACTATTTCCTTACATTTCCAAGTGTATTACTTCAATAACACCTGCTGCTACTTCCTTACCCACTCTGGGATTTGCGCCCCCACAAATCTGGCAAGCCCCCAACTACCTGCTTTTTCTGATTACACCTGAGCAGCCAAGGATTGGTGAAGAAAGTTACACAACAGGACAGATTAATCACCAACTTCATACAGGTCACCCAACACCACCTGAGAATCTTAGTACCTTTCTCTGGTCAACCAGTATCTCCACTCGCTGTAACTACCTCTGACCTCATTGAATCCGCTTCCTCCTTGGACCATCTTTCCTTAACAAACATCAGCTGAGCTTGTTTCCACCATTACAAAGAACTTAGAAGACCGCAGGCAGGGACACACCTGATTCCTGATTCCTGGTTTCAAACACGCCTACTAACACCTATGTCCATTCTCTCCTTTTTCCATACTGTTCAAATTAAAGACATTTTATTCCTCCCCTTTAAGTATAATTCTTCCACAGGTTCTTTGAAACCTCTTACCACTTTCTAAGGAAACTTCCAAATCGATTATTTCTTCTCTCTTTTATATGTTCCGCTTTCCCCCTCAACTAGATCCTCCCCATAGGCTTTTAATCACCCTCAAGTTTTTAATTTAAATGTAAGTAAAACCTCAAACTCTATCCCTCTCCAGCTGCCACTCTCTCTCCCCCATCCTTTGCGAGACAAACTTGTCAAAAGGCTTGTCTACAGAGTCTCCTTTTCCCTATGTTCTATCCCCATTTCTCCTAAACCACCCAATCTGCTTTCTGTCTAATTACTCCACCAATGACCTCTCCAGGTTGGTTTTTGAATTAAAGAACCACCTTTCCCAGTCTTGAAGGACTGGTCTCAGGTAGGAGATGAACCTTATTCTTCAGCCTGGCCCTAGCTGTTTGCTGTGTATCAAATCTTTGATTGTCCAAGATGCCTTTTTGGTTCCCAAGACCTGTAAGCGTCCCAAAGAAGAAGACCTCCATCAGCACCTAGATGCAGGCTGGTTGCAAGCTGGACCCTCAGGCAGCAGCTTTTAAAGAATGCAAGAAGGCCTCTTTCATGGAAAGACTGGGAGCTGGGCATTTTAGTACACTGTCTCTGTGCTGAGGGGTGCGAGGGGGGATATAGCCACTGCAAGTCCTCTGGACCCCTTTTGTCTGCTATAACCCTGTGGGTCTCATAGACACAAGCCCAGGTGGCTTTCAGAGCTAAGTGTTTGGGGACCTGTCCCTCCAGTGGAACTTTCATAAATTGGGACTCAATGTTGAGCCCAAACTCTTTGCTCCAGGGAGAAGCTGAAAGCTCAGAGTCCTGTCCTGGTCTTACGTTGCTGTGCTGGGTTTAGGATTTATGGTGAGACTGTGTCCTAGTCTCTTCTACCCATTCTGATGTGGCTATATTTTTTTCTCACACAATGTGTAGATGTTGCCCTTATCTGTTTCTGGATTTCTTTTGGAGGGAACTGTCCCTTAGGAAGCCATGGCATGGGTGTGACCATGGAAGGAGGTGAGTTCAGGAGCCTCCTAGGTCACCATCTCGAACTGGAGCTGGCCTAACCACAACCTGATAGATATTTGCCAGTCCTCATCTCATTTCACGCTTCATTGGTGTTGACTTTCCCTTTGACCGCTATATTACTTTACAGGTTTTCCTAAACTTCTATAGCCATGCTTTCTCAAGTAAAGAGAGCCTTGACCTCCTTTACTGGCCAGTAAATGATTTCCCTCAGGGCTCAGCCCTGGTCTTGTGAGCTTCTCCCTTTGGCAAGATCATCCACACTTGTGGCTTCAGTAAGCATCTATGTACGCATGACTTCCTAATCATAACTCTGGTCCGTCCAGAGCCCTGCATCCCACCGTCTATTAACCTCTTCTCTTAAGTGGCTCACAGACTGGTCAAACTGGACATGCCCCAAAATGATCTCATGATCTTATCACCCACTCCCTTGCCCCATTATTTGTCCCACTCTAAAAGGGGTCCAACAGGGTAATTGTATACAGTTGTCATTGTGAAGCTTCAAGAGAATCCATTCGCATGGGCTACAATATGACTGGTGCCTTCTAGAGATGAATAGTGTGGCAACCCTGTTTTCCAGAGTTCCTTCTCTTGGGAAAGAGCACATTGAAATGTGCAAGCCAAATACCTATGAGTCAAAAATGAAAATAAGAACCCCCCCAAAAGACAAAAAAACCCTAGAGTTGTGTTCATTTCTGTTTCCCCCAGCTCATCCAAACAGTCACTAGCTCCCATTCATTTAATCTCCTGAATTGTCCTCAAATGAATCTACTTCTTACCAACCCCATCACCACCACTCCAATCCAAGCTACCGTTGTCTCAGATGGGAACTACCACAATAGACACCTGACAGATCTGATCTCCCCTCATTCATTTCTATTTTCTTCTGGTTCATTTTCTTCACTGAAGCCAAAGTGATCTTCTCAAATGCTATTTTATAACTTGAAACACTTACGTTTCTTTCCTTAAAATGGTAACTCCTCAACATGGCCTACAAGACCTTCAATGAATCAGGCTACCGCCTACTTCTCTAATCTGGACTTGCATTATATTCCTCTCATCATCTTTGCTCTAGACCCACCAACCTCTCAGTCCCCGACCTTCACCATATTCTGTCCCATAGCAGGAACTTTGCACATTCTGTTTCTTCTATGTGGCAACTCTTCCTTCCCCTCTTTGTCTACTTAACCTCACCAACTGCATTTCCATTTAATTCTTCAAATTTTAGGATAATTATCTTTTCCTCCATGGAGGCATTTCTTGACCCTATCACCAGGTTAAATCCGGCTATAGTAAGCCTTCATTGCATTGTATATCTACTTAGTTCTTATCACAAGTGCAATTTTATATTTCTCTTCTCATCATTGATTAACAATAATGTCCCCACTAAAATGTAAGTTCTCTAAGGAGATGGGGACCATGTCTGTTATTACTTATCATTGTCTTTCCACGCACTACCCCAATACCTGGCTCATATCAGATGATTTGTCGAGTTAATAATTAACTTCCAAGAAGGAAACCATTCACAGGAGCCAGATTAAGCTTGTATCCACATAGGAGGAAGGTCAGAGTAAGAGGACTAGAACCCAGGGAAACCATAACACTGCAAATAAATGAGTAGGGCCTAAAAAGGAACTAAAAACTGAAGTCAGATACCAGGGCAGGACACCAAAGAGAAAGTAGCACAGTGTTTGGCCCAAGTGGTAAATCCACTCCGGTGGGAGGCAGCTATTGCAGAGTCCCAGGTGAAGGGAGAGATGTCTGGCACCCAGCTGAAAGTAGCATCTAGTAAGTGGTATACACATATGCACACGCATGCACACACACACACACACCTGATTGACCCTCCGGTGCCTCCAGTTAATGTGCCCCACAGTAAACCAGCTGTATTTACATGCCCTCGCTAAAGTGTTCTTCCTTTTGAATTTCCTCCATCAGTGAATGGTGACAACATCCTCATAGTCACCGCATGCCAACACCTGGGAGACATCCTTTACTCTCAAACCCCACATCTCAACAATCTCCAAGATCAATTCAGTCTAACTTCCAAATCTGTCTTAGATCTATCTTCTTCTCTCCACTTCCTCAGCCACAAATGAAGTCCTTCAACACACTTGCATTATTAAAAACTTCAAAACTGGGTGTCTCCCTCCACAATCATACTTCCCCATTCCTCCATTCTTCCCTCTACGTTCAGAATCATCCTTCCCAAATCCACACCCTGTAGCTTCATAAAAGCTGTCTCTCTCACCTCTAACCACCAGTCATTCCTCATCTCTACTACTCTGCCTACCACCTGAGCTCTTATCATACTGAACTAGTTTTAGTTCCAGAATGTCTGGGTGATTTTCAGGTTTCCCCATGCCTCCACAACTTTGCATAGCCATCTCCCTCAGCCTAAAACTCTATGCCCACCGTTTCTTCATCTACTTCCAGGCATTTTTATCTAGAGAACCCATTCTAAAGCTCCAAGTCCTACTCCTATCCAGCTAACTCCGCTAATCAGTTCAAAGTTCTCCTCCACTGAAGGCCTTCCTTAATGTCTGGCCCCCATGAATTTTACATTTCTTTCTCTCACTCTATTAATCATACTGTCTATTCTCCTCCATAGCCAACCTCTAACACTAAGGCAAACATCCTGAGGGTAGATAAGATGTCTTATTAATCTTTGTTTTCTGTCAGTGGCATAGGAACTAGCCGTTCAAAAATTGTTTGATTACATAAATTAAGAACCAAAGTGAGTGATGACTTCTATTGACTTTTTTTTTCTCTTCTTTCAGTCCAAGTGGCTACCTGGTTGCTGCCTTCCTCTTTATCCTGATGCTACTGTTCTTCAGTATTCTAGTTTTGAGCTATTTCCATTATATGAGGATTTATAAACAATATCTTTATGAGCCAATTAAAAGATATGATAGAAAACAAAAGGATAATTAGGAAAAATGAAAGTTTGTTTAGTATGGATATATATATATGTATATATGTAGAGTGTATATATATATATATATATATATACACACACACACACTTATATTACAAGTGTGTGTGTGATTAAGAAATGCTAAAGATAAGCACATAGTAGGTATAAACAAATTCAAGCTCTAAAAATGTCCTTAAATTACCCCAAGACAAACATTCTTATATCTACTATGTGTTATTAATTTTAAGGTGTTTACCCTTACCCTAAGGTTCTCCATATACTCTTATGTGACTTTTTAAAAAATTAAAATAAAACTAAATTTGCCTATTAAAATCCTTCCTAAGAATGAAAGTAAATTTTTGGAAGTGTGTAAATATGTCAAATACTTTTTTTTTTTTAGCTTGGGGGAGGGGCAGAAGAAGGGGGAAGGAGGAAGCAGACTCCTCGCTGAGAGCGGAGCCTAACTTAGGGCTAAATCTCACAGCCCTGAGATCATTACCTGAGCCGAAATGAAGAGTTGGACACTTAACCGACTGAAACACCCAGGAGCCCCTCAAATATTTATTTGCGTGAAACTTTTCATATGAAATCTCATATGGCTGTAGTTTATGTATAAAAGTCTTAATGTGTCCTAGATAATCTCTCTTAAATGTATTTCAGAAGTTTTTCTAGTGGTAGATTCACACATGAAGTGTACAGCTTATTGAGAATGAGAAGCTGCTGCTCTAAGTTTTAAGTTTTAGAATATGATTTTCATGTTCAGCATAAGCTTAATTTATCCAAATGTTACCACAGCTTTCAAACAATTAGTGTTTGTAATAGAGTTCAACTAGAGAAGCAGAACTTGTGGGAGGGGTGTGTGTGTGTGTGTGTGTGTGCGCACATGCGCATGCGTGTGTGTAAAGAGATTTACGAGAACTGGCTTGTGTGACTGTGGAAGCTAGCTAAACAAGTCTGAAATCTACAGCACAGACATCAAGAATAGAAGATCGCAAAAGATAAAAAGAGCAAGATGGAACTCCACGGGCACAGATCAAAGCTGCTATCCGTAATTAGAATTTCTTATTTTACCAAAATCAAGAACAAGACAGGGATACCTGCTATTCATCACTGTGTTGTAAGTTCCGACATTACAAGAGGAAAACAAAATGAAATGACCATTATAAATACTGTGGGAAAGGAGATTTTTTAAAAAATCCTCTCTTTCAATAACAAGATAATATGCCTAGGAAACCCAAAATTAGTAACAAGAATTATTAGGTTAAGATAACCTGATTTGCTCAATATGAGATAGATATTTAAAAATTAATACCTTTTCTAGGCGTCTGCCTTCCACTCAAGTCATGATCTCAGGATCCTGGTCAAGTCCAGCGGCCTCCCTGTTCAGCAGGAAGTCTGCTCTGCCCATGAGCGCACACTCTCTCTCTCAAACAAATAAATAAACAAAATACCTGTTTTCTCTATAATGTTATATAACAGCAATAGAAAAAATAAAAAGTAATTTACTCATTGTAATGACAAATTATACAGAATTAAATGTAAAAGGTGTATGACATACATGAAAACAATCTTCAAAATCTTTATTGAAGGAGGTGAGACAAAATCTGATAAAAATAATTAATAGGGGAAAAAAAGAAGCAAAACTACCCAATAGAAATGAGAGCAAAGAATATAGTCACTTTACAGTGGGGTATCCCACGTAGCCGATAAACATATTTAAAGCAACTATTTTTTAGTGTTTACTATGTGCCAGGAATTGTTCTAATAACTTACCTAACCCTTTTTAACAAGGCCTCGAGATGGGAGTGTTATTTCCCAATACAGAGATGAGGAAACTGGCAAAAAAGGTAAGTAATGTTTGTAAGGTCCCACAGCTGGTAAGAGATGGAGCTGGAATTCACACTCGGACAGGTGGAGTCCAGATCCGGGGCTCATGCCCCCAGGATGCTGGAGCTCGCCCGCCGTTGGGAAGATACAAACCAAAGTTACAGTGAGGCTTGCATTCCTCACCTGAGGGCACAAACTCGGAAGGTTAATACTCTTGGGAAAGAAGGAGGGTCAGAGATGGAAAGGAAATTCCCTTTAAAAAAAATTTTTTTATTTATTTGAGAAAGAGTGCAGGGGTGGGGGGCAGGGCAGAAGGGGAGGGAGAGAGAATCCCCAGTCAACTCCGTGTTAATTGTGGAGCCTAATGTGGGGCTGATTCCACGACCCTGAGATCATGACCTGAGCCCAAACCAAGAGTCAGATGCTCAACCGACGGAGCCACCCAGGCGCCCCAGGAAGGAAATTCTCTTGCACTTCAGAAGGAAAAGCGAATTATTTCAACTTTTTTGGAAAGCAATCCGGTAAGATCTATTAAAAATATACATGCTCTTGGACCCAGAAATTCCACTCTTAGGGATCTATTTATGGGATGAGATGGGATGGGGAGGACCTATATATATATATATATATATATATATATATATATATAAATGCTGTATCATTGGTTGTTATGAAAAAAACTCTACCAAAAAAAAAAAAAGAATGCTTATCAATAGGTGAATAGTTGAGTAAATGATTGTACATTGGCCCTACAGATCAATCTGTACCAGTTGATTTAAAAGATTTTCCACAAGGTTTTGTTCAATGAGAAGAGCAAGCCACAGAGTATTTACAGCACGAGCTTATCATACGAACCAAAGAAAAGCCCTGTGCATGAGAGCGTGAAGAAACGTACGGAAAGATGCATATCATTTCGTTGACATTGTGTGCATGCGCACGCGTGTGTCACCGTGGGAGGGGGAGTGGGGGTATATGCAGAGGCGAAGTGATGAACCGAACCCTTAAAACTATGAAGAGGGAAACAAAACAGGAACGGCACGTGAAATTTGCTCCTAATTGCAAAACCGGGTATCTGCACAAAGAGAAACGAAAGGGCCATAGGCACCCAATTTAAAATGACCTAATTCCAGGTGGTATTTGCTTTCTTACTACTGTTTCCTGCCACATTGAACTTACACTATTTTTCTGAAAGATTTTATTTATTTGAGAGAGAGCACAAGAGAGAGAGCCCAAGCAGAGGAAGCAGCAGGCAGAAGAAGCAGGCTCCCCGCTGAGCAGGGAGCCCGATGCGATGCCAGACTCAACCCCAGGACCCTGGGCATCTGATGATTGTCCCAACCTGCCACAACTTCCTATTTCCTTTCATTTGAGTCCCTCCTCTAATAAAATCACTGCGCAGTTAATCCCACGTTGGTGACTGTTTCTCAGAGGACCTGGAGTAACGCAGTGGTGACACGAGTGGCCTGAGGAAACGGAGTCAGAGGGTATTTGAGACTGATGCTGCACCCAGCGGGCCGGGACAGCACCATCCTGACGGGTATGCGGCGCCCCGGGAGTTTCTGGCTCAAGCTGGTGGTTCAGTTGCTAAAGTTCTCGCTGGTAGTGGCCTGGGGAAGTGTCCCAGTGGAGGGGAGTGCTAGCGGGTGCAGTGAATGCAGCAAGTGTTTGAAAAACACGGGCTGACAAAGACAGCAAAGTCTGCGAGTTACTGCTAAGTTACGTGGCTTTTCTTAAGACTTTATTTATTTGAGAGAGAGTGAGCAAGAGAATGAGCAGGGGGACGGGGGCTGGGGGCAGAGGGAGAGGGAAAAACTCCCCGCTGAGCAAGGAGCCTGATGCCTGGCTCTATCCCTGCACCCTGGGATCCTGACCTGAGCCCAAAGCAGACGCTTAATGACTGAGCCACCCAGGCACCCTAAATTATGTATTTTTTAAATCGAAATATAATTGACATGTAATATTGTATGATTGTATAAATGTTAGATGTACAATGTGTTGTTCTGATACATTTATATGCTGCAGTTACCTTTATGGCATTAGCTAACACCTCGGTCATGTCACATAATTATCATCTCACTTTTTTGCGATGGCAAAATTAGGATCTGATCTCTCAGCAACTGTGGAGTTTATAACTCAGGATCGTTGATTATAATGGTGATGCTGTGCGATAGCTCATCTCCTAGCCCCTGCCCCATTCCCCCAGCCCTCTGCGTCTGGTAACCCCCATTCTACTCTCTGTTTTTATGAATTTGTCTTCTTAGGATACCACATATAAGTGAGATCCTGCAGTATTTGTCTTTCTCTGTCTGGCTTTATTTCATTTAGCATAATGTCCTCAAGCTCCATGCATGTTCTTGCAAATAGCAAGCTATCTTTTCTCATGGCTGAATAATATTCCATTATGTATATATATGTATACATTATCATTTTTATCCCTTCATCCCTCAATACTTCGGTTGTTTCCATATCTTGGCTACTGTAAATTATGTTTCAATAAACATGGGAAAATGCCTATTTCTTCCAAATCGTATTTTCATTTCCTTTGGCAATAGACCCAGAATGGAACTGCTGGATCACGAGACCATTTTATTTTTAATTTTTTGAGCAACTTCCATATTGTTTTCCCTAGTGGCTGAACAAATTTGCATTCCCACCAGCAGTGCTCAAGGGGTCCCTTTTCTCCCCAACCTCGCCTTTTATTGCTTGACAACCTGCAGAAGTTCGGTGAGAGACAGAGTCCCAGCAGTTGAAGGCTAAGCGTGAGAACCACAGCGTCTCCGCAGTGACTTATATAAAGAGATCATTATCACCAGTAGCAGGATGAAAGACATGATTGAAGACCTTCAATCCCAGGGCTCTAGAGATGTTTGAACCCTTGACCAAGGCAGATCTGTGACACAGAGGTCAAGGTGCTCATGGGACAAACTGGGGTCCTGAAAACTGGAACAAGGTCGGCTGGATGGATGTCTTTCCACACCTGTCCCTCCCCATGCCCACCTTCTGGGCACAGACATTGCCTATCCGTCTCTAGTAAGAGCCACCACTTCTTCTGGTCTGGAGGATGCTGCGGAAGCCACTCCCTCGCTAGAGAACATGTGCCCCCCACCCTGATGCTCTCGGTTAAATCCTAGCCTAACCCAGCTGGTGACATGTTACACCTGATAAGGGAGGAAGAAGGACAAAAACCTGCGTGTCCGCCCAGG